TGGACATCCGCAAAAACTACTTCACGGTTAGGGCGGCTAGGAGCTGGAACCAACTTCCAAGGGAAGTGGTGCTGGCCCCTACCCTGGGGGTCTTTAAGAAGAGGCTGGATGCCTACCTGGCTGGACTCGTTTGAGTCCCGTTTCTCTTTTTGGGGTTTTTTGTTGTTCTCCCACCCTGGCGGGGGGTCGGGCTAGAAGATCTACTAGGTCCCTTCCGACCCTTAATCTATGAATCTATGAATCTATGAATCCTGTAGGGTCCTAGGGCTGCTGGGCCTTGCTTGTCCATCTTAGCAGAGGTGCTAGGGTATGCACAGAGCCTGGACTCTCAACCCATCCCCTTGGAGGCTGACTACCATTGACCGGGGCCCAAAGCAAGTGGAAGGAGCAGAGCAGGACACCCACATGTGTGCAGGAGCTCTTTTCCTAGAGGACGACTCTCTGGTGAGGCTCTCTCTGTTATCTTTACCCAGCCTACTAATCTGCAAACAAACCAGAGTGATGAGGGCCTGCCTGCCCCAGCCCGCACCAGCCTTTTGCGGCAGCACAGCGGAGGTACGGCAGCCTGGGGTCTGTCTTGGCATTTCACACTTGTTCGGTACCTGCAGGCATCAGGCATGAGCCAGCTGAGAAGCAGGACCCAGCTGTGGCTGGGAGCTGAAGTTGAGCAGGACAATAACACCCTTGTGGCTGCCTGCCCACCCCCTAGGCCTTCCTGTCGGCACCTAATAGTTTCCAAGGTGGCCATGTTATCCCACTGGCCCCCTCAGGATAGACCACACAGATATCTGAGCTGAAGACTTTCAGACAACCTGGCTGCCCCCACACACTGGGTGGCACCCGACGCTCCAGGGCAAAAGGGCTCCCTGGCATGCAGTGCCCTGTAGCATTCCCTGGTTTCCACCTTGGGACTTTGCTGGGCTATGTTTCTTGTAGCACTAGGCAAGGGCAGAGAGCTCCCCTGATAAACCCTGCCCCCTCACATGCATGGCTGCTTGGAGTCAGTCCTACTGCCAATCAAACCTGGCCAGCAGCTGCCCGTCACCATACAGACTTCCACGGCTGCCCCCTCTGAAGCCCTGTACAGCACACCCTCCTGCACCAGGCTCCCATGCCCCAACTGGCCTGGCAGACATGCAGCTTACAATTCAGGCATGACTGATTAGGAATAATTTTACAACAGTGACCCTGTTTCTTTGCCGGCGCTAATAAGGAGGAGCCTTGAGTGACACTGGATGCAGTGATTAAGCACAGAATGCACACAAACATGCTCCATGCAGGTGGTGCGCTGACCCCCAACTGGACATGTCACAGCCCCAAAAGCCCTGAGACCACTGTGACCCCTCACTCTCAAGCCCCTGCAGCCTCCTGAACCCATTCCTGTCTTCACCCAAAAGCTGCGGGGCAGCAGGCCCCAAAACAGGTTGGCTCAAGCACTAGCTTCTCATCAAATCATCACGGAAGATGGGTGGTATCACAAGCTCACATCTCACCCGGGGTCCGGGCACCACCATCCGGGTCTCCCTCTATCTTCTGGAGAAGCCTTCTATCTATTCAGAGGCCACCTTGCCCTCCTTAGAAAGGTACAAGCTGGAGGAGAACAGCACAGCATGGTGTGGCAATCACCCACACTCTGCATCATCCAGAATCTACTGTCGAAAGCCAGTTTGCCAGTTCTTTTGAAGGCACCAGGTGGCACAGGTTGTGGGGGGGAGAAACCACACATCTCCTGGAAAATACAGACCATTAACCAAATGCTGCAGGGCTGTCACATGCCAACGAGCAGTGGCTTGGCCGTTGATTTGTCTTCAGTTCGGAATGTTTAAAAATCCAACTGAGACCAGCGGAAAAATATCCACTCCCCTCTTTAAAACACACATTCATCACTTGAGAATCTTAATGTGTCTTTCCCAGCCTGAGAGGTCAAACCCGCCTGCCTAAAGCAGGCTCATTAAATATACATTTAATCATGGTTTGGATTGAGAGACAAAGGCTGGTAGAGACAGGTGCTTTACTGGAATGACCTTTTGGAACCCATTTTAATGTAACTAGTTTACAGCTTATCTGAAAGGCCAGCTCATCAGGAACAGTGGAGCTACAGCAGAACCGGAAAAGTAATTATCGGTGGGGGAGGGAGGATGGGTTAGAGATATTTTAGGAGGCTTCAGAGCAGGTGACTGGAGTATTGTCTGCCCTAGCACTTTGTAGACATCCGTGCCAAATTTTCAGAAGTTCGACTTATCAACCAAAGAACCCAATTTAATTTGCTTATCTTGTCTCCTCCTCTCTCCACTCCCTCCTCCTGCTTCTCCTGCTCTTTTTAATTATCAGTTAAATAAATGTCTTTTTCAATAAGACAAGAAGCACCAAAAAAAAGAAGCAAGCCAGAAAAGGCTCCTGATCAGGGAGGTAGGGAGAGGGGGGAGCTGGACCAGACGGCTATCCATCTCCCATGATGAGAAATCTACAGAGGCAGAGGAACAAGCCTGGCTGGAAGATGCATCATACAATATGTCATGTGGACAAGGCCGCTCCCAGGAAAAGCTTCCGAGCAGAGTTCTCACCCTCCTCACAGAAAGAAGAGAGGTTAAAAGGCTAGCAACAACCTCCATGCCCTGGAAGGAAGTGGGGAGAAAAGTCCAGGTGTCCTGTCTCCTGACCGTGGTGGGGGTTAGAATACCGTGCCCACTGGCGGCGTGCCACCCTGTGGGGCCTGGGGCACTTACACTTCCGTGGCTCCAGGGTTTTGCTGGGGCATGCCAGGTGCTGCGCCGGGGGGTTCTGGGTTCGCTGCAGACAGGCCAACATGGTCCAAGCGTTTGAGTGCGCTGCTGGGGTCACCACGGCCGAGCCTCACGCTGCAGAACACACAGGGAGGGAAAGCATCAGTGAGCAAGTGGTAGCAGTAAGGGCAGCCACACATCGCAAGACCCCGCTCTTTTGCTCAGAAAGTGCCTGTGCCACAGACACACACCCAGAACAAATTTTCACCCAAACATTTGAAAGCCACAACTGCTCGGGCCTTCCAGCTGCTTTCCGTGGAGAATGCCCCTATTTTGCAGCTAGTTCGAGAGCAGCGGCACTCCACTGGGCAGCGCAAGACAGTTGAGGGCTTGTCTCAAAGCTGCCGTGGTTTGGTCACAGTGACACTCCCTAGGAGACCTCCTTGTTACAGCGGTGCTGAGCTTCACTGACCAATAGGTCCAGGCTTTTGCACTGAGCCAGGTAATACAAGGTAACTCTCTGGGTGTCAAGCCCTGTTGGAGATTAGGTTCTGGAGCACTGACCATGACAGCTGTGGAGCTAATCCCCCTGGGTGCGGGGTTTAAAATGGACCTGCCCTCGCTGTGTCTAGGTAAGAATTATCCATGCTTTGTCTCCACTAGGCTTTATGTCCAGGCTGTTCCTCTCACATTAGCTGTCAGGAGGCAAACACCTGCCTAGGTTTTAAAAGCAAAGGCATAGCCCGAGCCTTGGGACCTGGCCAAGACCTGGCCAGAGCTCCTTCCGACAGCATGCGGGCTTAGGACAAATGCAGAACAAGTGCTTGGTGTGAGAAATGCCTACAGGACAAACCCTGAGCATGACACAGGCTCTGTGCTTGAGCTCGTGCCCTCACCCCTCATGCAACCACTCAGCCCCCAGCTTCCCATCTCATTCACTCAACACAGCGACCTCCAAGCAGAAGCTGGCTGAGACCACACCACGTCAGACAGCAATGTTGTCAGTATTTCCCAACCTTTTAGTGAGACATGCAACAGATTAGCCCCATGCCCTCCCTGAGGGGCGCTCTGATCCCCTTCTTCCACCCAATCTGCTGCTCCGCTTCTGGCCTATGCTGTACTCCCCATCTGATCTACTGCTCTGCCTTCTGCTTCCCCCCTGATCTGCCACCATGCTTCCTGACCTGTCCCCTCCCCAGTCCACTACATATCACACACAGAGGCTGCCTGGGCCACAAGTTGGCCACCCATGACTTATACCATGGTAGCACCCACACCACGCACTGCCCACCAACAGAGAAAGACAGCTGCTGCCTCAAAGATCTTGCAAATCTGAGATCTGATCAACGAGGTGGGGAGGGGGGTTACATTCACAGCAATAGTAGCTGTACTGGCCTGCCCCCAGCCCAGCCAATATCTTGCAGGAGTGAATCTCAGCTATGGCTATTCAAAAAGGTGGTTTTAGCTCATATTCCACCTCTGGGAAAACAGCCTGCCCCCCGTCGCAGCATACAGATGCCAATGTCAGACGCCAGGCGACGGAAAGCTCGACTGCTTGTCAGTATGATGGAAACCGATTCCTCACTATACATCACCAGCACCATGCTCCCTCCCCTCTGAACCAACCAGTAAGACCCCAGCAGAGACCAAACCCTGTTTCAAGAGAAAGTAGGCAAAGGACGGAGCAAAAAAGCCACCTGCAGCCTGAGGCCTGCCACCAAATCTCAAACTGGTCTTGAAACAGAGCTGACAAAAGCCAAAAGGATCAGGCTAAAGTTGGCTCAGATATTTACATGCGCATTGGCTGCTAACTGTATATCCTTTGGGAGCCCCAATGTGAGACGTGAATTATAGCTCGTTCCTCCTGATGTAGCCTCACTGCCTCGAGCGGCTCTCGAAATGATAGACCCTTGCAAACAAGGGGAAGAGAAGCTTGACCAGAAACAGAAGGAAGTCGGCTAGAGCCTCTGCCCTCAGAGTCAGAAGTGCTGACCCGGGATGCCCTTTGGTTGAAAGTGCACTGCCCGCTAGACCTCACCGTGAATGCAGCGCACTCCCAGTGCTCCCTAACTTTGCTGTCCACGCAGAGTGGGTGATTCCTACCTGGTCTGGCATGCCCCATACCCAGGGAGGACTTCCTGAAGGACAGCAAGGGTACCTGCAGGTCAAAGGCAGGTAGAGGTATGGGGATGGGAAACAAGGCACCTTTACAGGTATGGGATTATTTTGTGCATTGGATTATTTTGCAGATCACACGCACGCGCACGCACACAGAGCAAGGAACAGAGCTGGGTCTCCCTGCACGGCACTGCAAAAACTGGAATGGCACTGGCTCACTCTCCCAGGTCACTGTTTAGCAGTGCCATTCCTACAGCCCCCAAGGCATGCCAGCCACTGTGCTGGCAGTGCCCTGCAAAGCTGACCAGCAATCTGCGGGGCAGATACAGCACCTAGCACCCTGCACTTTGCTCTTCTCCACAGCTCTCTAGGCCAGCACTGAACAAACCAGACCACTGCGCTGGCAGGTGGGCTGCTGAGCGTTCTAAAGGCGACTGGGGGCCAGGAGAGCACTGAACACAACCAGGATCCGACCCGCTCTGCTCCCAGACACAGTATAACTTGACTTCTGGAGGGCAGAATTCATTGGTGCCAACCGGGGCAGCTCAGTGTCATTACCTGGCCCTTCATGATTTGAGATCTGGGGCACTGGCTGCAGACACTGGGCTGGTATGTGAGGCTGTGGGCACCCCAGCCCCTGTGGGAAGTCAGGACTGGTATCTGAAGACGGTCCAAATTGAGAAGTCACTTCTGAATAAGTGGCACACATATAGGCCCATAGTTATATGCCTGCATGGGCACACATAGGGATATGCAGTGTGTGATACCAATGCTGTGACTCTTACTGGCTGTGACACACATTTACCTTGTGTCATCCAAGGAGGCAGAGTGGAGTTGTCCTCCTTCGTCCCGTCACAGTGTTTGGCTGGACACAGAGCAAGGGGACTGCTCCTTTGGAGGCAGGGGTATTACTAAAGCTTTGTGACACTTATCCACATCAGGACTTAGCTCAGCTGCCTGCATCCACCGCTGCATTTGGCTGTCTGGGAGGAAGTCAGAAGCAGGCCAGAGCAAAGCTCGGTAAAGTATTCCAGGCACAACCCGATCCTGAGAGCAAGGGGATAAAACAAGTCTAGCAAGTGGCAGATCTCTTCTCCCTGACAGAACAGGCAGGAGCAAATTAGGGCAGGTCGGGGGGTTGCTCTCATTCTCCTAGCACTGGTTGCCATTATTTCATCTTCTGTTCTGGGATTCGGCTGAGCAGCAAACAAAGCAGACTCACAGAATACATCACCGTTGCATGCCTACACTGCATAACACGCATGGTGCACACCTTGCTACGCCTGCCTGTGAACATGCACACACGGGCACGTACTGACAGTACAACGCACATCACAACATATCTGTGACAAGACCACCTCAAGCCAATCCACTGGTATTACAACAGGTCCCTGCATCCACCTCGCTTCACAGACATGTGGCCTGCAGGACAGATCTGCTCACAGCAGAGCCCCCTGCCTACCAAACCAGCTTCTTCCAGGCAGGATTGGGTGACTCGAGGGGTTGGAAATGAGCCTTGAACCTGCAGGATGCTGCTTCTAATGCAACCAAGATCAGGAGTGCCAGAGATGGCTGAAAATAAAACTGCAGCCTGCTTTATCCCTCTGCCATCCGCTCAAGACCCTCCCCAGACAAGTGCAGACTCCGCAGCATGGCGCTCTGACTGGCAATGGATTGTGCCAAGGCAGGAAACAGCCCCAAGCCCCTATGGCTATGCCAGTAGAAGGTCCCTGGGTCACGGTTCCCATGCCAGCTGTGAGGCCTGGTCAGTCTCTGATAGAGGGAGCCCTCTGACCAGCTTGGTGCAAAGGGCAAAACCACCGGCCGAGGCACAGCACCTTCTTGGCTGGGAAGGAGCTTAGGGCCCCTTTCGTTCAGGCACCTCCATTCTTGTTCCAGGAAATCCCCATCTCCCTCCCTGAAGGACACTCCCCCCATTGCAGCTGGTCAGGCCGTGCCCAGGGCGGACAGGGGTGTCGGAGAGATTACAGAGATAGATTGGTTTGCCTGAGTGCAATGGACAGACGTTCTTGGAAATCGCTTGCTCGAGTCCCCGCGCTGACAAATGACTCTGGACGTGTGCGGATTGCTCGCTCCATGCCGCTCCCCTCGTGGGAGGGTTTTCCATGCTCTCGCCTCTGCCCGGGTGCCAGGGAGGCAGGAACGCTTAAGCAGCCTTAGTGTCACTTCTATGACATCTGAGCAGAGGGCAGATGCCGAGGGGGCCGGCAGGGAGCAGAGAGCTGGTTCTCAGAGACGCGTGGCAGCCGTATTTGCCCTCTAGAGCTGGCCCCGTCTCCCCAGCAATGAGAGGCAGGGAGAGAAAGGAAGGAGTTGTGTACTGAAGCAAGACCTGCTTAGCTGCTAATGCATCCTGGCCCAAGGAAAAACCTGCCTTTCCTCTGGAACCGCAGAGATGCAGAACGGAAAGTCCTACAGGTGGGAAGAGGGACCTGGCACTGGTTCCTGGGCTTCCAGACTGGGTGCATGTGATAGCTTGGCTTCCCCATCATACCCTCTGAAAGGCAGGCCTGGGCACCCCAGCCTCCTGGCTTGGAGTGATGCCCAGACAACCATGGCAGTGGGGAATTACTGCCGAATCCAACAGAGATGAGAGGAAACAGACCCTGGAGCTTATTGGGGATGGTGGAGGAAAGGCATGTTCTCACAGCAGAAGCATCCTCCGGCATGTCCAACCACTACCAGAAAGGAGCAGAGGCAACAACAACGTTTCTGTTCCTCCGTGCGCTCTGGGGGCGCTCTGATGGCGGATGATCTGGGGCTGCTCAGCACAAGCTGCCGGGACAGCATCCACGTGCCTCCACCGCCAACAGCCCGGAGCCAACTTCGACTGTATCCTTCCCCCAAGCTGCTCAACCTGAAAAGTTCCGTAAACATGATACACTTTCCAGGGCCCGGGAGGGGAGGTAGGGGTTGGTTATTTAATACTGAACAGGTGTCTGGAGAATCTAAATTGTGCTGTTTTCTCCTAATAATGAAGTATTCATGAGTAGAAG